TCAATTCTGCTGCTTGGGGTAAAAGCTGCCACAGATAACAGGGAAATGAACGACACAGCCATGTGTCAATAAAACTTTATTTGTAGACACTGAATTTTTTTTGTAATATATTCAACAACAGTATTGTCTAAGTTTAAAGTGTACAACATGTTACTTTGATATATTTACATAATGTAATGTGATTGCCATTGGAGCAATAATTAACACCTCCATCACGTTATATAACTATCATTTCTTTTTAGTGGTTGGAATAATTAAGTGTGGTCTCTGCAAGGTTGATGACGATAATACAATATCATTGACTATATTCGCTTTGCTGTGCGTTACCCCTCCAGGGCTTATTTAATACTCATAGTAAGTTTATACCCTTAAACAACATCTATCCTGTCCCCTTGATCCCTCTTGGACACTGAAATTTGAATTTCATATAATTTTTGCATTGTGAAAATTTTTTTTTTTCAACCATTTAAAAATGAAAAGGCCGTCCTTAACTTGAAGACTGTACAGAAACAGTGGGTGGGCTACACTTAGCAACCAAGGCTGGGGATGGTTCCCACATCATCTCTGGCTCCACACCTGCCCCTTCTTAATCCCCTATCAGGGAGTCTGGGAGGATTATGGAGGCTTTAAAAAATATATTATTATAAGGATAACATAAGCCCACATGTTTATAAGCAGAAGTTGCCTGGTACAGCACCCTGCTACACTGCTTCCTCTCTCCCCTCCTGCACCTATGGCTTCACGGGGGAGTTCCCTACAATCAGTCAAAGAAGAGAAAATCGAGGTGCTTCGTGGGCTGTGGTCTGGCAGAAGTACTTGTAAGGAAGATGACTGGAAAGTCCATGACAAGGCAGTCTCTGGAAGAGGTGTGTGGATAGACTTCTCCGCACGGGCAGAAGTATTTGTGTCCTATACTCACGGCTATGGTCTGAAGGTTTGTGTCCCCTCACCCCATTCATGTGTTGAAATCCTAACCTCTAACCCCTGACTTTAATACTAAAGTAATGGCATTAGGAGGTGGGGCCTTCGGGAAGTGCTTAGATCACTAGAGCCCTCATGAATGGGATCTGTGTCCTTCTGAACAACGAACCCAGAAAACTCTCATCTCTTCCACCATGTGAGGACACAGCCAGGAGATGCTGTCTGTGAACCAGGAAGCAGCCTCTCACCAGAGCCTGGATCTCCTGGTGCCTTGATCCTAGGCTTTTAGCCTCTAGAACTGAGAGGAATAAATGCCCGTTGTTTTTAAGTCACCCAGTCTATGTATGGTATTTTTGTTATAGCAGCCCAAATGGACTAAGACCCTTACCTACCGGTGGCCTCAGTGGAAGAGGATTCTGATAATCGAGTGGATAGGGCGACCCATTCTATGGATCCCGGCAGGCTCTTTCCCCAGCCACCCACGCAACACTTCATGGATTCCTCGTAAACTAAGCAGCCGCCGAGTCCTGCCTGCCTCCCTTTCTGCCTGGGTGACCACTGTCAGCCATCTGGTCTGTAGCTCTGCCGTCACCACCATCCTGAGAGTTCACTGTGTCTGAGTGGCTCCAAAGGGCAGAGTCCACGTGGGAGCCTCCTGGTGGTCACGGCCACTTGTGTAGACCCAGCTGGGAGGCAGGAAGCCTCATGCACCAGTAGGAGAAGATTAACACCAGGCAGGCAATTTCCCTTCCCTCCTGCGCTGCCTCCCACCACACACCTTATAAATCCTTTTATTTGAAGCCAAAGCAGAAACATGGAACCCTTACAGCTTGGTGACTTGATGTTGTTTTTTTAATTGAGGTGAAAGTCACATAACATAAAATTAGCCCTTAACCACTTTAAGTCATTCAGCAGCATCCAGTAGCCTCACAATGTTGTACAACCATCACCTCTATCTATTCCAGAGCTTTCTGTCTCCCCAAAAAGAGACCTCATATCCATTAAGCATTTATTACCCTCCTGCCAGCCCCTGACAACCGCTACTTTCTGTCTCTATGGATTTACCTGTTCTGAACACCTCACAGAAATGAAGTCACGTAGTAGGTGGCTGTTTGTGTTGGGGTTCTTTCGCTCAGCGTGATGTTTTCAGGATTCATCCATGTTGTAGGGCGTGTCAGGGCCTCATTCCTTTTCATGGCTGAGTAATATCCCATTCTACAGATGGAACACATTTTGTTTATCCACTTACCATTAATGAACACCTGGGTTGTTTCCGCCTCTTGGCTCTTGTGACTCATGCTGCTGTGAACATGGGTGTGCAAGGATCTGTCTGAACACCTGCTTTTAATTCTTGGGATGGTGATATGCATTTTTACTTAAAAGCACAGCAAGGACATCCTAGTGGCAGGCAGGCTCTGCAACCAGCCGTTGATGATTTATGTGCACTCAGTGAAACTGTATGGAATAAAGGATTCGATGAATCCAAGCTTGGATGGGCCATTCCTCAGCAGCACTTCTGTTTCTGTGGCCAGAGAAGCTGACCCACTAAGGTGAGTGGGTATGGTGCAAAGTCGGGTGAACCCAGGAAAACAGAGGAATATACTGTGCTTTCTGAATTCTGAGGACCCTAGTGGTTTGCTGGAAAGGACCCAAATTTAAAGTCCAGCATTAAGGGACAAAAGAAATGGGTGCTTCAGGGCCCCCGAGTCAACCCAGAAAGTGAGGCCAAGCCCAGCCAGGCTGAGCCCACGATCCTGCAGGCTCACTCCCTGCTCCCAGCCCAGCAAGGGAGAACCGAGGGGAAGACAGTGGAGGAAGCAGACAGAACAGAACAAGCCCTCTGAGAAATCCTCCAAGAATCAGGAAGAAATGTATAGGCACCTGGCCTGGCCCTGCATCTGGCCACCAGCACAGTGGCTGTGAGCAGGAATGCAAGTCACCTTGGTCCCAGCCACTGGCTGGTGACAGCCTCCTTCTCCTCTTTGTCTTTTGCCTCCCCACAACCTCTACTTTCTAAATCTCCAGGTCAAACTGCCCCAAGACTAGATGCTGCCCTGACCCCGCCCTCACCACCCCCTGCGCACATCACATCACTCGACTCAGTCATGGCTGTAGTCAGAAGCCACACGCTCTGGAGCCACCCTCCTGGGCCCGCAGCAACTGGGGGCCGGGGGCCAAGCCTCTACCAGTGGGGAGACACAGGTGGGAATGTGGGGAAACTGGCCTCGTGCACTGTTGGTAGGAATGTAAAACGGTACAGCTGCTATGGGAAACAGTATGCCGGTTCCTCAAAAGGCTAAAAGTAGGATGACATCCGACCCAGCAATGCCTTCTGGGTATATACCCAAAAGAACAGAACCCAGGGTCTTGAAGATATTTGTACACCCATGTTCACAGCAGCATTATTCAAAATAGCTAAAAGGTGGACACAACCCGTGTCCAGTGATGGATGGATGGATAAGCAAAATGTGGTCCATTCATACAAGGGATTCTGACACGAAGGGAGGGAATTCTGACGCCTGCTACATCACAGATGAACCTTGAGGACATTATGCTGAGTGAAATCAGCCAGACACAAACGGACAAACACTGCATGACTCCACTGTTATGAGGTCCCTCAAGGGGTCAGATTCAGAGAGACAGAAAGTAGATGGTGAGGGCCAGGGACTGGGAGTTAGTGGTTAATAGGGACAGTTTCAGATTTACAGGAGGAATGGGGAGGGAGGGTGATGCTAGCTGCACAATGGGAATGTTTGACACCCGGGATCTGTATACTTAAAAATGGTTATGATGTATTTTAACTCAAAAAAAAAAAAAGCCACAGACATCATGGGCATGAATGGGTACAACTAATTTTACAATGGCTGAAATTTTAATTTCATATGATTTTTATGTTTCAGGGAATAATCTTCTCTGGTTTTCAACCATTTAAAACTCTTTTAAAAAAAGGTTTTTAACCCTGAGGGCTGTGCAGAGATGGGTGATGTGGCTCCCGCACTGTGGTTTGAAGAGCCTGGTGCAGCCTGTTTCTTGCTTTCTTCCACACAGAGCACCTGGCCTAGGCCATGCAAGAAAACTTGCTGCATGAATGAACCAGTGCAGGTGTGTATGACAACAGCACCCCAGTTTTGCATCCACCCAAGCCAGCAAGCCAACCCTGATGCCTTCACTTCTTTACTGGGCAACCTCAGGGAAGCTGCTTAAGCTCTCTGGGACCCAGGTTTTCAGCTGTAAACAATTCTGTCTGGCACTGTGCAGGGCGTGCCTCCACTTCTACAGCCACCCTGGTTCTTCCCACCCTTGTCTCCCAAAGGGGGCCCAGGAGCTCTGTCTTTACAAGCCACAAGGTAGGGACCTCCCCCAGACTGGCTCAGGGCCCTGGCCTCCCTCCTCACGCCACACACACCCACTCTCATTCTGGACTAAATATATTCCAATCTGAGAGAGACAACCCCACATTCATTTCCGCCTTCCTGCCCTAGCGTGGTGCCAAGAAAAAAAAAAATCCCACTGGGGCAGTGGGTGGGATGGAAGGAGGGAGGAGGGGCAGCACCACCAGGTTGGTGGGTCTGAGATGTGGCCCCAAGGGTCCTGACTGTGATGGCGATGCTGGGAAGGCTGAGGATGAGGGGGACCTCCCCACCCTGCACCCTGTTTCTGTCCTTGGCTGGGCAGCTTGTGAGTCACTATTCCAGCATTTGCTGGCCAGGAGCCAGGGCTGGGTGGGATGTTAGGGCAGCAGGCGGGTGGGTGGGGAGACCTACTTTTTCTCCTCCACGCCCACAGGGCGCACACTTCGGCACCCGCCCTGTAAATCGGCAGGCCAGGTCAGGGCTCCCCACGCCCGCTGCGGCAGCCACCAACCACCCTTGGAACCAGGAAGAAAACGCCTGCCTGTCTCCACTCACCTGGGGCAGCGGGCACACTACCACCCAGCTAGCCCACCCACTGGGGCTGGGGAGCCGGCACCCCTCCCTCCAGGCCCAGGGGACATGACCCTGAATGGTGGCTGTGCTGACTCCTCCCCAAGATGCCAGAGCCTGCCACTCACCTCTACAAGCAAGACTCAAACCCAAACCCCAGGTTTACGGTATACCTTTATTTGGGAAAAGACACACACACACACAGACGGTGAGCACTTATGGAGAGGTGAAACCACGAAAGGCAGGTAGCCACCCTGACACACACACACACACACACACACACACACGGAACCAAAGGCAGGAAGCCAGTGAAACCACCAAAGGCAGGTAGCCACCCTGACTCACACACACACACACACACACACGGAACCAAAGGCAGGAAGCCACCCTGACACACACACACGGTCAGCACTTGTAGAGAAGTGGAACCAAAGGCAGGAAGCCACCCTGACACACACACACACATACACAGTCAGCACTTGCGGAGAGGTGGAACTACCAAAGGCAGGTAGCCACCCTAACATTCAGCCACACCTGGGGATATTTTTCTTTGCCACACTGTAGGAAGGGGTGCTCCTGGTACCTAGTGGGTGGAAGCCAGAACCATAGCTCAATACCCCTCAGTGCACAGGGCAGCCCCCACCAGAGAACGATCCAACCCCTGGGCTCAAATTCAGGCCCTGTCACTTTTTAGCTGCAAATACTATATATACATAGGAAGCCAGCTAACTTCCCTGTGCCTCAGCTTCCCTGAGGTGATATGATAATACCATAATAAAGCTTGATCGTGCAGACTCCAAAAGCGAAGTGCCTAAACAAGTAAACAATAGCTGGTTAGGATTATTGTCATTCTGAAGACATTAGCCTCCGACTCCCAGAGTGGGGTTCAAATTCAGCATTTATGAGCCAACCTCCAAAACGTGCTCTCACTGCCTGTCGTGGGGGTCACCAGGGAAAGCAGATGAGCTACTTGGCACGTAGCCTCAGTGCGTGCTGCGGTCACTGGAGTGCTGAGTGAACTCTTGCTGAGCTTGGAAGCGCCTGAGCCCAGAAGGGGTGTTAGGGAACAAAAGACCATCTGGCTTCTGGGTACAACGGATACCATGGCAGTGGGACAGGATGGGCTCAGGTGCAGTAGGAGTTGGAGGCGGATTGGGGGAGGATTCCTGTTGGCCTGGGGGATGGGGAGCTCTGGGCAGGAAGTGTATAGTCCCATGTATGGGTGAGGCTTAGCCAACCAAGAGTAGCTTTCTGAAATGTACAGACCAGCTGCAAGGAGGGGAAGTCACCCAAAGGAGGGAAAAGGTAAGGTACGCTAGAGTAATTCAGGGCATCAGTGGGAAACTTGGCTCTTTAGTGGGCAGAGAATTTCCCAGGAGCTCAGGGCATTCGGGAGGTCAAGTCCTTCTGCTCACCTGGTCTGACCAGAAACCTAGGTCCAAGAATGGACATGTGGCCCTGGAGGTGGGTCCTGCCTTGGCGCTCCCCAGCCTTTAGGTACAGGCCTGGCTTTGATCACAGGGGAACCGCTGCAGGTTCTGTCACACGGATGCATGCCCCTACCCCTCCCACTGAGGTGCAGAGTCATGAGCAGGAGGGGCAAGCCTGGAGAGAAATAAAGAGGAGCAAGGGGAAATAGGAGCATACCTAGCTGCCTGGGAAGACTCCAAAGAGCCCTCTGGGGCACAGTCCCCAAGGACACTCCTGCACCCTGCCTCCTGGGCGCCTCAGCCAGAGGTACAAAGCCAAGCCAGGAGAGGGGATAACCCCGTGGCGGAAAGGAAGGCTCTGGTGGTCCTAGGGCATGCCCTTCTCCTGGCCTGTTTCTCCCTCCAAACTGCTTTGTGCCCACCCCCCTTGGAAGGGAATGCCTTGTCCCAAACACCAAGACACCACTTCAAAAATGCCAGGATCTGTTTGTAAGGAAGTATCTTCGGGGACTCAGAGGGTAGCCGGGGAATCCCTGGAACGTATGCTGCAGATTTCAGTAGCCACTCCCAGCGCAGAGCCCACTGGGGACAGGGTCCCCAGAGCCCCGCCCCCACCCAGGCTCAGTCTGAGAGCTGCAGCCGGATCCGGCAGCGGCAGCAAGTAATTGTAGGCTTGCCTCTGCCTTCCTGTGGCGCACAGCCAAGACAAGGTTCATTCCGGAAGGGCGGGCCGCAGCAGGGGAGGCGAGGGAGGGAGGCGAGGGAGGGGAAGGGACCTCAGGTGGAGACTGGTTGGCGGTGGGCTGGCGTGGGGTCCAGGTCTCAGAGCCCTCGAGCTCCAGCTGCTCCTGCTGCTGCAGCTGCTCGCAGAGGCCTGGCCCCTTCTGGCCTCTAACAAGCCCTCGTCAGGGTGGGGAGCTTCCAGCGGACCCACCCTCTCTGCCCGCCCTCTGGTCTAAAGGGCGAAGAAGCAGTGAGCCATTTCCTGACCCAGACACCAGCAAGGGGGCCTTGCGGCAGCCTTTCTGGTCTAGCAGTTTGGTTTTGCTCAGTAAATAATGATCACCCCCCAAAAATTAAAAAAATTCAAACCAATTTAGTCCTCCTCGAGCTCAGGGGGCATTTTCATCCATGGAAGGGGGAGAAAAGATGGCAGAGTCATCCAGAAAAAGCTGGGAGAGGAAACCTGGTGGGCAGTCAGCTGCAGACACAAGAAGAGAGAAAAGGCTGCCCAGTAGTGGCAAGGAGATGAGGGCCTGGCCATCCTGAGCTCTTTCTTCATCTGTGAACTGGACATAAATTTCTCGGTATGTATAAGCAAAAGTCTGCGGACTGAACCTAAGTCTGGAGCCACCCACCCTCCTGCCCCCAAATCCAGGAAATGAAGGAAAACAATGGGTATTTTACTAGACACCTTTGCTCTCTCAGTTCCCTCATCTGTCAAATGGAACTAGTGGAAGAGCCTGCTTTAATGCTGACTGAGGATTGCATCAAGGGTTAACTAAGTGACTACATAGAAAGAGCGAAGCACAGCCCCTGGCTGGCAGTAAGCATCAATAAGTGTCTCTCAGAACAGGCCTGTAATCTGGTCTGGAACTAACTGGAAGCCCCTGGGGCCGGATGCTGGGTCTCCAGAGGCTCTCAGAATCTACTGAGGGTGCTTCTCAGGCCAGCTCATAAACAGAGGGGACTTTTCATGAAGCCTCAATGAACAGACGTTAATTCCCCAACACATCCTCCCAGGTCTCCAAGGAAGAGAAAAGCGTTTCCAAGGCTCCAGGCTTGGCTTGACTCTGGCTCCTTAGGACCACCCTGTGTTCCTGTCAAGCCCTTGGGAGGCCATCCCAAACTGGGAAACTGAGGCCCAGACCATCTAGAGAACTGGTTCAGGAGGAGCGACCCTGCGGCTAACCAGGTGGAGCAGCTAGGACAGTGGTTGGCAAACACAGCTGTACCTTGGATTGAATTGGGTTGCCTGGGTACCCCAGCCAGCAGAGCCCTCCCCAAGAGATCTGGGATTTCTCAGAACTCAGCGTGGAGGCTGCTCCCAGGTTAGCCACGCCCTGTCCCCTGGCCGCACGACCCTCGGCGACGACGGCAGGCAAAAGAAACGGGCCCGTGAGTCCACTGAGCAGGGCAAAGTCTGGGTTCGCCTAAGCGTTTCCCCATCGCTTCTGCAAACAAGACCTGGAACTGGAGAAAATCCCCAAGCGGATTTGTTAGCTTTGTCAATTCCCTCACCTCCCCAACCTCTGCTCCCCAGCAGACCAGGCTTCCAAGATGCCCCCTGCAGCTGCTCCCCCCAAGGAAGGGTTAACAGGAAGCTCCTGGTGCCCTGCAGCCACAGAAGCCCATTGTTGTCCAGTCTGTCCCCTCCCCCTTGTCCAGGAAGACCCTCTAGGGAGCCCCTTCAAAAGGGCCCGGCCGTTGGCTCCAGGCTGCAGGCCAGCCCTGTCGGGAGAGCCTGCACAGGAAGAGGAAGCCCGCCGGGCGTGGACTGGAGCACAGCTGTCACCACGCCTCCGGGGGTTTCCAAGGAAAGGGGGACTCAGCCTTACCAAGCCCTGAATGTCGGGAGGGGGGGCGGGGGCACAGCTTCTCTCCACAGTCCCCTCTGGAAGCCAGGAGGCTTTGATCTCAATCCTTTAGGTACAACTTAAACACCTGCCTCCCTCCACCCGCTTCCTCCCTTGGCCCCCCAACCCCAGCATCTCCCTGTCAGAAAATTTGACACCTCACCCCTCCTCCATTTGATTTCAAGTCTTCTCTCCGCCAGGTCCTAACTGCCAGCTTTTTTTGATTAGTAGACTCTGGTGTGTGGGGGAGAGAAGGGGGTGTGTTTTGGCAGGACGGCCTGGATTTGGGGGGCAAAGGACTAAGGAGAACTGTTAGCAATTCCCTGGAAGACCCCGGGGGAGGCGGGACGAGGGCGAGCAGCTGGCAACCAGATGTGGGTGGACAGGCTCGGGAAGAAATTAATTGGTGCCAGTAGGGTGGCCGGCGGGGAAGGCAGCACCCCAGGATACCCAGGGAGCCGCCTAAGTCTGGGAAGGAGGGTGGGGGACAAAGACTGACTGAGACTATTTCTTAACCAGAGTCAACAAAGTGCTGGGGGCGGAGGCTGATCTGGGGCCGAATAAGCCTGGAGGCTGGAAGGCACCAAGAAATCAGAGGCTGGGAAGGGGGCAGCAGGGAAGGGATGGGTGCAGATTCTGCTCAGGTGGGCGTATTAAAGGGGCAGAGCCGGACTACGGGACAGGGATGTGATGGGTGGGAATTCTGCTCAGGGGGGCTGCACAGAAAAGGGTCAGGCAGGGAGCTGGGCCTGGGGAGGCCTCAGGCCCGGACCTGCAGGTGGACAGCCTTAGTGTCTGGGCTCAGCTCTCCTGGACACAAATTTGGGGAGACCTAAGGTCTCCTTAATACAGGAAATGCCCTAGTGAGAGCAACCCTGGACGCAGATGGAAGACGTCTGTGCTCCCTGAACACAGGTGGGGGTCTCTAAGTCCCCCGGACACAGGTGAGGAAGGTCTGGTCTCCCCTAGGCACAGGGAGGGACTTCAGCAGCCTCCACACCAAGCGTGGGTTAGCGTGAGCCTCACTCCCGCAATCCTCGTTTCCCACAGACTTTTTCCGCCATTTACCTGATTCCGAGCCGACCCCCAGCCCCGGACGCCCCCCGGTGCGGCCTCGGCCTCCCAGTGCGGCCCCCTAAGCCGCGCCCCCTCATCCGTGGGGCGTGCAGAGACTGAAGGGAACCACACGCCGAGGGTCCGGGCGAAATCCGGAAAGAACCGGTTTGGCGGCGAGGGGCGGGGCCCGAGCCACCGCCGACTCTGGCAGTTCTTGGAAGTCGCTGGACGCAGTGCGCAGGGGCGGGGCCCGGGGGAGAGAGCAGGCGGAATAATTTGTGTACCCCCGCCCCCATGATGATTGACAGCCGTGTAGCTCCGTCCCGCGCCCTGGCTAGTTCCCCACCCCTGCGCCGCAAGGGGGACTCAAATTTCCTCCCAGAGATCAAGTCCCCGCCCCGCCCCGCTATCAGCCCGGGCAAGGTCTGCGTCTATACCCGCTCGGACGGCAGACCTCACCTAGGTTCCTGGAACCGGGCAAACCGGTCTGGGTGCTGCTTCTAGGATGGTCCCGACCCGTGGCCCGGCCCTTTCCCACCTCAGCCCTGTCCCTTGAGTCCTGCACAGTGGAATTGGGGAGATGTCGGGATGGGGGACGCGACTTAGAGCTGTCCCCTACTTGCTCTCCCGCTAGGCGATCCTCTCTGGCCTTCAGTTTCCATGTCTGATAAAAGTGGAGGCTGAAAGGACCGACCCCAAAGGAGAGCTGCAAACCATTATTAATCCACAATAATTTAAGCGCCTGCTAGATTCGTCCTTGTCTTCTATGGAGACCAGAGGTTAGAAAAGGAGACAAATCCAGAAGGAAATGTAAAATTGCAGTTGTGATAAATACCATCACAAAAAAGCAATAGTTCTTGAGTGTTAATAAATACTTGGTCCAAATGGGGGGCAGACAGGGAACACTTCCCTGATGCTTTGCCCTTGAGATGAGCTGTCGAGGGAAAAGAGTTTCGGGGGATCATAGCACAGACAAAGGCCAGTGACTGTGAAGATGGTGGAATTATGGGGAACAAAAAGCAGGTCAGTGTGGCTTCAGGGTGATGCAAGATTAGGACAGAGATGGGCTGGGCCAGGTCAAACAGAGCTTTTCAGTCCTAGGAGTTTTGTCCCTTTTCCACAAGAAGAATTTTCCTAACTCTGAGGCAGTGGGCAAAGGGATTCAGTGTTATTTAAATAACATAATGAATTCTTCAGAGTGTTTGCCTTGTCAGCTCTCAGTCCAGCTAGTCTAAGGATGGTCTTCCTGCCTTAATAAAATGCTTGCCAATCTCCCTTTATAACTAAGAAAGCTGTGTGGAATCTCACACTGGCTACAGTTTCAGCAGGATCTCAGGACATTGTTTTGTTTTCATTGTAACTTCTATTAACTGTTTCCTTCTAACTATGGTGAGTGATTAACAAGTGGGTTGTTTTAAAAAAATAGGTAAGCTGTTATGCAGATATGACAAAAAAAACTGAAATTTGGGAAATTCTATTCTAAGAGCCATGGGAGGCCACTGATAAAATTAGGTAATAAATATTAAGCAGTTAGCACCTGCTCACCCCAGACAACTTCATTTACTCATTCAGGCCTGGGCTGGGCATTCTTAGAATTGACATTGGGAATACAGATGCTAAATAGAACATAAATTTATCTGATTAGGGTGAGCAGTGCTCTAAGAAGACTGAGCAGGGTCAAGGAGTAGAATAGGGTGCTCTTGTAGATCTGGTGGCCAAAGAAGGCTTCCCCAAGAAGGTACCATTTCAGCAGAAATCTGAAGAAAGTGAGGATGGGCTAATGGGTGTCTGGAAGTAGAGTATACGGCAGGCAGCAGAAACAGCAGGTACAAAGGCCATGGGGCTCGAACATACTTGGCCTGTTCTCCAAGCAGAAAGGAGGCCAGTGTGGATGAAGCAGAGGGGAGATGGGAGAAGGAAGTGATCCAATTTGTGTTTTATAAGATCCGGCACAGCTGCTGCACAGAATAGACAGTGGGGGCAAGGGCAGGGAAGAGTGAGAGGTGGTGGCAGCTCAGACCTGAGCAGGAGCCATAAGGTGGGGGAATGAAGCAGAATGAGAGGTCATGTTGACAACCCCTGTGACTAGAATGAGGCACGAGGGAAGGAGAAAAAGGGATTCAAGGAGGGTTCCTCAGCTGGAAGTCTGTCAGGAAACAGCAAGAATCCCCTTTGAATCTTGTTATGGTGGGAATTCCTTAGGCCCCCACAAGGGGACAGAAGGCCCTGGACAGACAAGTATGGGGCTTGGGGGGAGGTCCAGGATGGAGAGCTGAATTTGGGAATCACCACAGAGGTGGCATTTAGAGCCCTAAGACTGAATAAAGCTGCCGAGGGTGTAAACGCAGAGAGAGGCCCAAGGCCTGGGCAAGGGATGCTGGAGTGTGCGGGCCTGCGGGCCTGGAGGCGGGAAAAACCAACTCTGTCAAATCACCAGGATGAGACCCAACTGGAGCTGGACTATTTTTCAGCTCTCTGGGCTTAGCACAGCATCTACACACACTTTTCCTTACATATATACTTTCTTGCTGTATATGCTTTCAAACGCACAGCACTATTATTGTCTGGCTCTAATAATAATAAAAACGGTAACACTGTGTGCCAGGCATCCTACTAAATACTTTACATTTATTAGTTTGCTTAATCTTCACAAGGAACCTAAGAGGTAGGGACTATTATTGCTCACTGTTTACAGCCAGGTAAACTGTGGCCCAGAGAGGTGAAGTGACTTGTTCCAAGCTACACAGCAAGCAAACAGAGCAGGCTGTGTGGCTCCGGAATCTGTGTTCTTTCCCTCACAACTTCTGCTGGTGGCCTTTGTCACTCACGGTTCTGAGATACCTCTGTCGTCCAAACACGTAGATCTATCTGGTTCTGGCCTTTCATCCTCTGGGGAGGGTCATGGGTAGACAGTCCCCATTCTACCACATCAGTCCAGTTCCACGGGCACGTAGGTTGTTTGCAATTTGAGCCGAGGTTGGACAACACTGTAGTGACCACCCTTTTGGAGCCTCCTGCCTCATGCCTGAGGTTCCCTGGAGAATCGCTGGTCACCAGATATGTGTCGTTTTTCGTTTTCAAAGCAGTTGTCCAATGGATTACTCCCTCAGAGGGCCTGTCCGAATGACCCAGTACCATGGAATGGTGGGAAAACTCCAGGCCTCATCAACGTCCGTGGTTCTGGCAAGTTTTTGCCTATCCTTATGGGTGAAATGGGGTCTTGGAGAGGGGTGTATCTTCATGGGGTATGTGTGCGGGATGCTCGTCTTGCTGTCTTCCCACTGCATCATCTTTAGCCCCTAACCCCGGGCTCGGGCACCGGAAACCCCCTGGCCGCCCTGGCGGGGGTGGGGGTCCGCCAAGCGGCTTCCCGCGGAAGGAAGGGCCCGGCGGTTCCTGCGACAGGATGCGCAGTGAGGCCCCCTCTCCTGCCGCCGGGGACTTCCCGGGCCGGGCCAGGCTCGCGGGGAAGTTGCTCCCACGCGGGTGCATAGTTACCGCTGAGGGTGTGGGGCTCCGATTCCCCACATCCCACTGGGGAGTTGTGGGTCAGGCCCCGTAGTGGGTGGCGCTAAAGCCTCCCACGTTTCCCGGGAAGCAGTCAGGTGGCTGCGGAGACGGGCGAAATTCCCCTGAGGAAACCGAGGGAGGAGGGAGCGAGGTGGTTGGGAGGCGGGGAGGGAGCCAGCGGGGGTCGATCCGGAGCGGGTCGGCCCTGCACTGCCCCCTCCTCCTTCTACCCTCCGGCCTCCTCGAGGTCAGGTCCCCCGAGGCACGGGAAGCCCGCAGGGGCCGGGCCAGCCTGGGGGAGGGGCGGGTGCTTTCCCGGCGCCTGCCGCCGCCCTCCCTCCTCGCACCTGCGGCTCCTTTGTCCTCCCTACAGCAACCCTGCCACCCGCCCTGGGGCAGCATCTGCAGGCCCCCTTCCTAAACCAAACCTGGGTGAATTGTTTCTCCGGGATGGCTAACCTGGAGCTGGGGTGGGGCCGAAGCAAATAGCTTCGGGCATTTCTAAGGCCTGCTCTTCAGATACGGACACTGCCTGAGCCTCACAATTATACCCCTTGAGATTGGCACAGGTGCATCAAGTGTGCTCCAAAGCTCACCCGCTCGGGTCCCCACACCTTAGGCTGTAAGACCCCCGCTAGCAGGTGACTGAGGTCCTCAAGCCGGGGCAGGAGGCGGGGTAGGGGGAGAACCAGTCTCCGACGGCGGCGTGCTTCCCGGACTATGATGCCTTGTAACCTGCAGTACGCCCCTTACAAATGTCTAAAGTCAGTAAGTCCTTTTTTCCCCGCCGAATTGTAGGGTAACTTGGAAGGAACCCTAAAAGTGAGAGGCTTGAGTCAGCACACCAGAGCGCCCGGCGAGAAGTGCTCCGTCAAAGAGGCCCAGCCCCCTCCCGCCCTCTCTGCCCACGTGGTGACCGGTCAGACGGGTTTCTGGGGCCCCAGCGAGCCGCAGCCAGCTCCGGACCCCTTGGTCCCGCCCCGCCCCCCACCAGCGAAGAAAGCCAGATGGCAGCAGAGACTTTTTATTCAAATGGTCTTTATTTTCCTATCTGGCATCTCTAGCAAAAGGCCAGAAAGATGAAGTTAAACAGATTCCACCACAATAAAGGTAAACCTCAGAATGCCCTGGCAAGAACCTCCCCGCTCTGCAAACTGGTCCAGTCTCACCAGTCACTGGTCCCAGCTAAGTCCCACAGCGCTCCAGAGACTCTCTCCCCTCCATATTTTATTCAGACCAGGAATATGGATGTCCCAACTGATTTGTTTGCCTCTGAAGGAAGGTCACGCTTGAAACTGAACATACTCCCACCTCTAATGCACCAGATGAGAACAATTTTTAACCTGAAATTAGATCAGGGCCCCCATACATACACCGGAAGGCGCAGGGGCGCGGGACACTAGCCTGCAACACGCGGGGTCAAGTGACTCAAGCCGCTCGCCTCCTATTCCCCCAGGGCGGTCCACACCCACACCCCAGACCCTCCTCCCAGGCCCCACACCCACGCAAGGCAACAGGAAGCTCCCCACGGCTGCCCCATGACGCAACGATGACCGCTTGCACAAGTATGCCACGGGAGGGGGGAGGCGGGCGCCTGGAATTCTCTTCAGTTTGGAAACGCAGAAACCAACTATTGAAAAACCTTGAAAGGGCAGCACAGCCCCAGTAAAAAATAAAGTCCGACCCTGAGGAGTTTTAAAGAACTAAGCCTCCCTACTCCCAGTCCCAGGAGGAGAGGGAAAGGTCTACGTCCCAGTCCGTTAAGACAGCACCTGTGGGCGCGGCAGGTCTCGGCGGAAGGCGCCAGAGCCCCCGCGGCTCAGGCTCCTAGGCGCCGCAACTACACACAGGCGGAGACGGCTCCCCGGAGGCAGCGTCCCTCTTCGGGCCTCTCAGCAGCCCGGGCGGTGGCTCCTCTCCACGGTTCCGCGGGCGCTCCCCGGGGATGGGCCACGCCTCGGTCTGCACACTCGGACAGACGGTTTGGCCCGCGCTCTGGGCTCCGGCAGCGCAGCTCTGGGGCACTCAGAAAGCCACCACGGCCCGCACGAGCACATTCAACATGCTGTCCGCGGGGCGGCAGGCCGGCTTTGCCTCGCACGCCGGCGGCGCCGTCGTGGGAGCAGCGGGGCTGCAGTTCAGGAGGCCGGAGAAGCGCCTCTGTAAGACGCGCGCCAGGTTGGGGAAGGCGCCCTCAGCTTGCGCCAGAGGGGGCTGCAGGCGATCAGAGACCTCCGAAGAAGCACCTTCCTGGTCTTCTTCTAGACGGGCTTTCTTGCTCGGAATCAGTCCTATGTCCCCGCCGTCGCTCAGGCTGCTGCTTCGCCGCTTGCGGCTGATTTTGGCGGCGCGCGGGGCATAGCGGGTAGGGGTCTCCTGGGCTCGGGACACTTCCTGCGTGTCCATGGGCTCCAGAGAGGGCTGCTCACCGTCGGGGGGCGCTACCTTGGCCTCTGCTTCCGCTTCCCGCGGCGGGTGCAGGCGAGGGTCAGCGGAGCGGGCAGGCGGCAATGGGACCTCGGGTTCGTGGGCCTCCACCTTGGCCGAGAGGTAGAGCTCCCGGGCGCTGCGCATGACTAGCGACAGCTGTAGACTCCGGTGCAGCCGCAGGCCACCGCGCTGCATGCGCGAATGGTACATCTTCCACACCGACAGGGTCATGATACGTTGCGCTTCCTTCTGCACCTCCATGGTGGTTCGACGGCGGCGACTTCCGAGCTGGAAAAGGCAGGTGGCAGGTGCACTCCGAACAACGCGCTCGCTCACGCCTCTCCACGAACCTACCCACTCTGTGACCCTGCTAGGACTCTGCCCCTGCGCCCGCCACCCGGGCCCTTTTGTACCCAGAGTGAGATCATGGACGCCCCGCCCAATCAGAGCGCCGCATCCGGGCTTTCCACCTCGCCATGGCGAGACACTCCTTAAAGCGACAAGGCAGAATTTACCGAGCTAGGCAAGAAGGGTACTGGAACCCGGGCGAGGACCGGCGTTCCCCAGTCCACGCTGAGCTCTCGGGATAGTCTCCTTTCCCAGGGTCCCCCAGTGCGCCCGCCCGCTGGCCTGTAGGAGAGGAACCGCGAGTGGGGCTCAGGGCCCACCCATGTGCTTGCGTCTGCAGCCCCAGCAGGTAGTAGGCAGCACATTTCCATTCACACCTGGGAAGGCTGGGTTTCGAGCCGGTACATTCCCATGGGAATAGTTCCTATCATCTACGATGTCTAATTAATGTTTTTTTTAATCGATAACTATGCTAAACACTGATGGAGCTTTTACAACGTGCCAGGCGTTGTTAAGGGCTTTCCTTTCACAAATATTGATCCCTCATCTCCACTCCTCCAATCAAGAAATACCTGATTTCTTCAGGTGGGGAAACCGAGCCAGTGGCTCGTCCAACATTTGTTAAATTAATATATGGGGTCACTGCGGTGAAAGGGGCCACTGGGGCCTCCAGCTCTTCTATCTCTGTAGCCAGCCCTCTTCACTCGCCTTGTCTGTAGATGTTACGAAGGCGGACAGAGGACGTCTGCAGACACGAGAACAGCCCGCGCTGCTATTCCTGCGCTCCGCACCGAGCATTCCCCCCGTTTCCCTACAAAGGGGCTCCACAGGTGGGGTTGGTGGTTGCAAGGAGGCGGACTGGCTACCAGACTGTCACGCTGAACACTCCACTGCTGCTCCCTAGACGACGAGGCCCCGCTCTGCCTCTGCGACCCGGGAGGCGGGATTGGGAGCCGGAAAACAGCAACGAAGGTAGAATAGACTAAAAAAAAAAAAAAGTTGGTCCCATCCTTCGCTACGCGCTAGCGCTCCAAACAAACCTATTTCCAGTTCCTTAAAATAAAGGCACACCATTTGGCCGTCTCGCTACAGCATTCATGGTGCGGGCCCTTTAATGAGAGGCTCCGCCCAGCGGACTGGTGCGCTAGGTCTTCAGGCCTCAAGACGCACCAGACTTCCCGGACTAAGTTTGGAAGTAATGACGTAGGACAGGCGCACGAACCGCTTCCGGATGCCCATATAAGGATAGGGGCAGGGAGCTCCAAACTGGACAGTAGCAGGCTTCTTCCGGGCAGGCGGGGGCGGTGCCTTGGTCTCAGAACACGCCCCCTCCCTCTCCGTCACCTCAAACCTGGCCGCTGGAGCTGGCCGGAGTCCCCGGCTTCCGGAGCGGCTTCCCGGCGAGCGCCGGGAGGGAGAAGCAAGTTCGCTTCCTTCCCTCCGGAGGCCAGGAAGGCGTGACGCCCCTCCGGGAAAGCACCCCGCAGGCGGGTAGGGGCAACCTCAGGGTTCCCATTGACGCCATCTCCCACAGGTCCTATACAAAGACCTTGCCAATACCGGGGCGACTCGTTGGGGACCCCTTCATCCCTGTCCCCCCCCCCACTCTTCCCCCTACAAAATTTTCCAGGTATTCCTGCTTTCCCTCCCAAAATCTTGCACCTTTTGAGCACCCTCACGTCCCGCCTCCCACCCCCCAGCACATGGGGACTCAACAATTCTTCTTATAAAATATCCTTTCAAAAACGACCTGTTCAGCTATCCTGCCACACATTAAAGCGACCTGCTGAGGACGCCCACATCCTCCCACCACCACTCCCATGGAAGACTCCACAAAGACATCCCCAGTCGAGGCGCTATCTCTGAGACACACCGGGGTGGCCCTCCGAGGATTTTTCAGATATACCTCTGTCACACAAAGGGCAACCCTATGAGTCTCTAACCAGCCATACCTGCTCCACTCTCCACGCAGAGGACTTCCTTGCAGACCATCCTCAGGCCCACTACCATATCCCCTCCTGCGATTCCCAGGCTCGCACCCAGAAAGACCCCACACCCCAGAAACATCTCCGGGGCGCCCACGTACAGCCACCCTACCCCAGGGCGACGTCGGGGCGCCCCTCCTCCGCAGGAAAAAAGAGGAGAGGAGAGTACAGCAAAACTCCCCACCGGAGAATGCCCTCGTCTCCCTCCGCCCCCGCGGTTAGGTGGGGAGGACCACATCTCCCCCAACCCATTTCCAAACTTGCCGCTCTGGGCTGGGGAGATCTCCCAGATCCGGATCCAGATGTGGGCTCGGGGAATCCGTTAAAAGGATCTATGAATCGAATGTGCCCCTTCCCCAGCCATAATCTCGTCTGGTTTGAAGGTTATTTTTATTTACATTGCCCAGAAGGGAAACTGAGGATGCGCAGCAAAAATCCGAGAGGCTGGGTCTCGAACCCACGATTCCAGCTCCGACACGAAACCAGCGGGACAGAGCTGCAGGGGGGAATTGGCTGTGCGCACCGGCAGGAAGCCGTTTCTGCCCACAACAAAGATGGCCGCAAAGAGGGCGGAAGTTCCCGCAGTCTGGGCCTCTACGGCCTGTCTTTCTACCCTGGCGGCCCCGCTCTCGATAGTTGCAGTAGTCACGTGCCAGGGGCGGGGGCGGGGGCGGGGGTGGCGGCGAGTTCTCCCGGGTTGGGAGGGACTCAGTAAGCCAGGGCCTAGAGAGGGGAGGGGCTCGGCCTAGGGCGGCGGAGTGACATGTCTCTCGAAGACCCGTTTTTTGTAGTCCGAGGGTGAGTGACAGTGATGGGGGAGGGCAGAGGGTGCTCGTCCCCGTGCCAGCCAGCGCCCGGTGCCCGCCAGAGCGTGCCAGGCGGTCTGGGCTCAGCCGTCGGGGTGCGTGCTTCGGGGTTCCCCTGTGGCCGTGTGGGAGGTGTACGCAGCGGGATGGGAGGATCTACTGAGTCCCCCACCCGTTTGGAGGAGAGTGGCGGGTGGGAGGACCGCCTGCTCCCATCGCGCCCACCGTGCCCCTGCCCCACAGAGAGGTGCAGAAGGCTGTGAACACTGCCCGCGGGCTGTACCAGAGGTGGTGCGAGCTACTGCAGGAGGGCACCGCAGTCGGACGCGAGGAGCTGGACTGGACCACCAATGAGCTGCGGAATGGCCTGCGCAGCATCGAGTGGGACCTGGAGGATCTGGAGGAGACCATCGATATCCTGGGGGGCTGGAGGGGCACATGGGAGAGTGCTCTGGGTGGCAGGGGGCACTGCGAGCCAGCCCCTGGGGAGGCTGCGTACCCGGGAGGTGTCCAGGGCTGAAGGCGCAGGAGTAGGTTGTGTCTGCCTCTGGCCTTGACTCTTGATGGTGGCTTACGCATCGTGGAAGCCAACCCAGGCAAGTTCAAGCTCCCAGCCGGAGACCTGCAGGAGAGGAAGGTCTTCGTGGATCGGATGCGGGAGGCAGTCCAGGTGAGGAGAGTTTCTGGGTGAGGTGAATGTGGGAATGTTGGAGTGTCTTAACTTTCTGATGTTGTCCTCACCCCCAGGAAATGAGAGACCATATGGTCAGCCCAGCAGCCATAGCCTTCATGGAGAGGAACAATAGAGAGGTAAGGCATTCTGACCCAACATATTTGCCTGAGTCTGTTGGGGTGATCCTCCCCTTTGAGGGCAAGCCTGACCCTCACTATGGGTGTTTGCCTGTCTCCAGTATATGTGCATGCCTGTCCCTTCTGTGTCAACATTCGTAGTCCCTGTGCACAGTTGTGTCCTGACTGTCTACATGCCTGCACTTTTTGGGTGTGTACACACAGCCGAGCCCCTCCCTGTGGGTAATCCCTTCTGCCATCTCCTGTGCATCTGTACTGGTGTCCTGGGGAAACTGGTTTCTTTTTTTTTACTGTGTCTTACTGATCCCAAGACATAAGCTACCCTTTTTCTGTGTATGTATGTGACTGATGCGTCTGAGCGTGTGAACTTGGCCCGAGTGGATGCCCCCTGCCCCCTGCCTGAGCACCATTGGCCTCTGTGGTTTACCTGCTCATGCCTTCTGTGCTCACTCTCCCTGCTGCCTCTGTGTGGTGTGTTCCTTCTTTGCCTGTTGTAACACGGTGGTCTCTCCCCATCCTATCTTAAGCCCACATGGGGGTCTGGGAGGGTCTGGTGGCTGAGGCCCATACCAGCTTGGAGTCCTCTAACAGTACCCACCTGCCTTTCCAGGTGTGCTGCCGTGTAGATTAAAGTCTAAATTCTTAAATGCATCTTTATATGATAAGTGTTCTCTACAGATTAATTCATTAAGTCTCCATCCTAATCCCAGGAGATAGGGAGTATAACTCTCTTCATTTTACAGATGAGGAAACTGAGGCACAGGGAGGGTAAGTGACATGGCCCTAAGGTGACCTTGCTAGTTAGAGGTGGGCTGGGGAATCAAGGCTGTTCCACATCAGACACTGCTTTCCTGACTAATCACCATCTCTATTTGCCACTAACCTGTGTCTGGCTCTGCTGTGAGTGGGGTCCCTGCCTGAGCCTCTGGTCTGTGCCCCTACAGATGCTGACAGGCAGGCCAGCCTCCCAGAAGTCATCTAGCGACTTGCTGGATGCCAGTGTGGTCTCAGCTACCTCTCGCTACATTGAAGAGCAGCAGGCCACGCAGCAGGTTTGTGTGGATGATCCAGGGCCCTGAGCTGGAGGGACCTGTGGACAGCTCAGAACTCCCTACTGACAGCTGTTCCCCTCATCCAATCTGCAGTTGATCATGGGTCAACAGGATCAACAGCTGGAAATGGTGTCTGGGAGCATCCGGGTTCTGAAACACATGTCTGGCCGGGTTGGAGAGGAGCTGGATGAGCAGGGCATGTGAGGCTGGGTCCCTGGGGGTGGGCCCTGGGAGCCCTCTGCTGACTCGTGTGCACAGGGCCTTCGGGGGCTGATGCCGTCCTGGTCTGGGCAGCATGCTGGATGCCTTTGTTCATGAGATGGACCACACCCAGTCCCGGATGGATGGGGTCCTCAGGAAGATGGCCAAAGTATCCCACATGACAAATGGTGAGTCGCCCAGGGGAAGTGATTCAGGGCTGGGGGACATGGGTTTCGGACAGTGCCCCTTTCCCCTGTGACCTCTGACCCTTTGACCCTAGACCGCCGACAGTGGTGTGCCATTATGGTGCTGCTGGGGGTGCTTCTCCTGGTTCTCATCCTGCTCTTCTCTCTCTGACCCTGGCCCTCCCCAGGGGGCTGTCCCTCTAGCTGGGAGAGCTGGCAGGGCCCTGCCCCCTGGGAGAAGAGGTTCCTGCCTGGGGAGCTGTCCCAAGGCACTCATCCAGAGCTAGTGGGACCCTCAGGGCCCCTGTGCCACAGCGCCCACCACTGGTCCTGTCTCAAGTGTGCTTAGGGGGTGGTGGAGGTAAGGGGACCCCTCCCCGTTTCTACTCCAGTGCCCCAAAGCCATTTGCTTTGTGCCTTCTACATGTGCCAACTTGAAAATAAAACCCCAGCCTTTTTTATACGTATCTGTATCATACTGTGTGCTGACTCTAAACTTGGGGCTGCCTGCGGGATGAAAACTCCCACTCTAAGCTCCCTGCTTGCACTCGCTGGGGTCCAGGTGTGTGTGTGCACGTGTCTATGAGGAACTTCACTGATATTTGGTGTGGAAAAAATGATTCCAGCTTAGGTCTTTTGTTACCCTTGAAAATTCCAAACCCTGATACTTCCTTGAGCTTTTGAATTAAGTTCAGTCTAAGGATCTTCTGCTTGCTTGGTGCCTAAGGCAGGTAAATCCTCTAGCTGAGCAGTCATTGCTGGGGGGTGTCTGAGCCACTCTGGGCTCCACTGCCCATCTGATCACTTCTGTGACACATTACTCTAGCAAGGCAGAGTTTGTAAAATTTAGATTTTTGCCTACCATGGTCCTTAGTACGTAATGATTCCTAAAAGCCAGGTAAACTCACAACCTGAGATTATCATGTTAGATGTTGCCATCCCTTGCCTTCTGATCTGGCATCAGAACCATGCATTTCAGTTGCTCACTTACACTTCGCAAAGTGTTGGGCGTTACAAGGATGACATTCCATTAGGCTGATTGGTCAAATCTTAAAATGAACCAAGTGGGTATAGGTTTCTTTCTTTGTGCAGAAGGCTTTGAGTTCTCTGTCCTTTCTGTACTTAGTTCTAAGTCTTCCTGGCACTAACAGATGTGCTTCTGGGCATTTCCGTGTACCAGGGGCGATCTATATGTTAAGACACAGGCTCCCTATTAATGTTGGCCTTCAAAAGCTGTACTATTATGGCAGCTGAGGCTAGGGGCTGGTCTTACTGAAATATACCCGTTTCCGTGGATATTGAGATACCACTTGATCTTCCCCACAGACATCTGGAGCTTCCCCTAGTCATTGTAGGCAGACCTGGTCTCAGCAGGCATCAAGCGTTTTCCACCTCAAGGCAAAGATTTTTTGACAAGATGGGATTTCCTAAAATCAGTAAGATCTTTCCACACTACTTTAAACATCTCTGAATCGACAGTACCCTAAGGCACATCTCTTTTTAATCTGAGTGGGACACTAAGACATATCTGTCTTTTTAATCTCACTTGATGGACCGTTTGTCCTGTCACATCCAGAACCTACTGCTCTTTGGGCACTCCGAACTGCACTGAGACCGGCCTTCTCAACTTCGGTGTTTCTTCTACTGCATGAGTGCGCTGGCTTGGATGGGGTAAGGGGTACAGGTCTGTGTTCATGACACATATGTGGGGCTGAGGGCTTCAAACCACAAAGGCAATGAGCAAGTGGACCTGCCACATGGCCAGCTCAATGGAGCCGCTACCCTTCTAGTTAAGGGGAGGCTCCCGTGGGATGCTGGGATTAAGGCCAGGAGGGTGTTTTAAGTGAAAGCTGTCAGGGGCCTGGGTCAGAGGCTGTTTTCTCAATTGAAAGGGGCGCCCCATCCCTGCTCACTCTCACACTCCAAGGGGTGATGCTTGGAGTGGCCCCTGCAGCATCTGTCAACAGGAAACCCTGGAAAGCGGGGTGTCACTGTGGCAGTTGGGGACCCTTCATGTGTAGTGAGCACCTCTGCACTCCCAATGAGCAGCATGCAGCAGGGTTGTTACAAAGGCGTTTAGTTTATTCTCCTCATCAGTATCACTGATGTTCTCATGGTTCACATTTCCCAGTGTGGCTCCTCGCCTTCCTTACAGTAGTTCATGTGCAATCTCAATCTCACTGACAGCCCAGGGAGTGGGGGGCTTGGCCCGGGGTGGGGAGGGCAGGGCGTTGGCACTTCACGCGGACAGGGCGGGCAGTCCGTCCTGCGTGAAAGAGGCGTGGGAGAGTAGGCGGCTGGGGCAGGCAGAGAAGGCCCCCACAGTCTTTTTTGCGTTAGTTGATTTCTCCATTCGTGCTCCTTCCTGGGCTGCCCTGGGTGGGGGGACCATGCAGCTCAGAGCAAGGATGGGCAGGGCCAAGGGGAAAAAAGCAGCAGGCGCCAGAGGGCAGGCAGGTGGGAGGGCGCAGGGGCAGCTCCTGGGGTAAGGCACAACCCTGTCTTTGGCTCTCCTGGTGAGGAGTTTCCTCCCCTGCACCCCTCCCTGGCCTCTCTCCCCACCCCCCCAGACCAACACACACAGTCCCGGGAGCCAGGGGCGCCTCCTGGGGGTCCCTGAAATGAGAGGGCTCTGCCACCCAACCCAGAGCGCAGGGGCTAGGAGGAGGGACGGGGCAAGCCCCACCCGAGGACAAGGCAGGGAGAGGCCAGGCAGGGGTCTGCCCAGGACAAGGAGGTGGGGAGGGAATAGACTCCAGTCCCAGAGAGCTGGCCCCTGCTAAGGCCTGGAAGGAGGGGAGCGCCTGGAGACTCCTTCCTTGGGGGGGGTCTGGCTGGAGCCCCAGACCACCCCTCAGCCTCAGCCAGCCGCTTACCAAGTGTCCAGGATATTGTGCTTTGGGATTGACGCTGGGGTGGGGTGTCAAGGCCAGGATGAGGGGCGGGGAGGTGCGACTAAGGTGCTTGTGCTTTAGCTGGGGGTGTCGGCTCCCCCCTACCACTCGGGCACTGAAGGCTAAGGTGCCGGGGGCTGGGCCAGGGAACAGCGCACTGGGACCCCCCCCCACAACTCCCCACCCTGCAACAAGCAGATGTCAGACCAGCGGGGGATGCTGGGTGGGGGTAGGGTGGCTCCCACTCAGAATCTAAGTGTCCGGTCAGGGATGACCCCCACTCCCACCTCCTGTGATCCCCCTGCCTCTGGAGACAGAGGTAATTGGGAGCAATGGGTGCACGGGGCCTGTCAGGTTGGGAGGCGAGACAGGTGAGGTCAAGGGCCAAAGCTACAAATGTGAAATCCTGACACCCAGTGCTGAGGGAATGGGGAAGAAAACAATAAAACGCCCCAAGTTCACAAGTCAAACAGAAAACAACAAAAACCCCTTGCTCTGGGCAAGGACAGAGGAATGGTTAGAGAGAAAATTCTGCAACAACTGCTAATAATGAAAGCAGGCCCTGCCCTGTCCCTAAGGCCAGGGATACCCTTCAAATGGAGGCCCGCTGTGGGAGCAGCAGGTTAGACCCATAGGAGCCCGGGCAGCCCTGCCTCCCAAACGCGCACCCACACTCCACACGTGCACACTGCAATCAACCTGCCCCAGCCCCTACGCCCCATCCTGCCTTCCACAGCCCTGGGGTCCGAAGGGGACCTCAGACACAGTCCCGTTGGTTTGAAAAATAAAAGGAATCTTATACTTCAGTATTTCATTAGCTAAAAAAATGTTTTAAAAAGTATGTACACGGGGTGGGCGCAGGGTGGGGGTGGGGAAGGGAGGGAAGGGCAGCAGCCCCCCCACCCAGCCTGCTCCCCTGGGTTCCAACCCTGGTCCTACTGCTGCTTTTATCTTCATCTTTTTAAACGCAAAACATCTACACACGCACGCGCGCGCGCACACACGCAAACGCTTCTGCAAGCGCCCGGAAACCTCTCCTTCTGTCCTCAGACCCTGGGTCTGCCCCCAAGGGCCCCCTCACCCAGGGCCTGCCCCTCAGGCCCCAGGGGACAGATAGGGGCAGCAGAGGCTGAGTACAGGGTGGCAGAGAGGGGCACTGGGCTGGCCCCCACTCTACCACCTTAGGTTAGTCGTGGAATTTCTCTGAGCCTGTTTCCTCTGCTACAAATCAGGCAGCAGTCCCCACACCTCGCTTACCCCAGCCTGCGGGTGCAGGGACAGACCAGGGAGACAGGAAGGCGCTTTTGGAAACATGGAAGCACTGGGAGGTGGTGGTGGAGGCGGTGGGGGGTCCTGAGAACCCCAGGGCCCCTGTGAGTCCCAAGGAATGGAGGCTGAGGAATACCTCCTCCAGGTGGCCCTGGGGCCTGGGGAGGTGGGGCTTCTGGAGCCCCCCCAGGCCAGCCCCTCCCTGTGCCCAGCCTGGGGAGTAGGGAGACAACTGCCAGGGGTTAGGAGAGGGGAGTGGGGGCTCCCCAACTGTGCACAAGTGTGTGCTAGAGAAGGCAATGCAGACCTCACAACCCTGCCGCCTTCTCCCAGCCCGCTCCGATTGGGGTCAGGGGTGGGACCGGGGAGGCAGAGGGGCTGGGAGCATGCACCACCCCCCGCGGGCCCTGGGGAGGGACAGACAGTAGCTAGTGACCAAAATGGCGGGCAGGTGTGATGGTGGGGGGAGGGAGGGGGAAAGGGGGCAGAGTGTGACAGCCCCTTGGGGACAGGCTGGTGCGGCTACTGCAGAGCCTCAGCCGAGGGGCCGGCCTCGCCATCATGGCTGGCTGTCTCAAAGCTGTGCTCCATGCCAATCATGTCTGGCTCGATCTTGCCCGTGTCGCTGATGAAGGTGGTGTAGGCATCACCCTCGGGCACGAGCAGCTTGACCTTGGGCATCCAGCTCTTACGCACAACACGGCGAGCATTGGTGCACATGTCAGCCGCGATGGCATTCATCTCACTCTCTTTGAAGTTGGGGGCAAAGTTTTGGCAGTAGTCTGTGGGGGCAGAGCAGGCAGTCAGGGCCGACATGGACCCGGCCTCCAACCCTGCTGACAGGCACTTGGCCACACGGCTCTTGAGAACCCTGAGCCACACAGACACGGCACCCCTGAACACCCCCTCACACATGACAACTGAGGCCATCGTCAAGACACTGGACGGTGTTGGCCAGGCCCAGGCTCCACTGAGCATGGCCTCATGCGGGGGATGTGTGGGTTTGACGGGTGGCCCAGTGCTCTTAAAAAAAAGTGCACTGATGTGCCAGAATTCAGGAACTGGGGGACTGCATGTGAAAACCTAGACTTCCCTCCTGACCACTGGCTGGAGCCCGGGCTGCTTCATCATTTCTGTGACCACTGTGACTTGGAGGTCCCCCTGCCCCACATGACACTGGCTTCCCTTCAGGGTCCTGCCCACTGCCTCCCATGAAGAAATCTCTCCCCAATCCAGCTCTCTTCCCAACAAGCCTAGATGGAGCCTCAGAATCCTTCTTAACATCGAACTCTATCCAGCCATCAGGGCCAACACCATCAAGAGGGACCATCTGCCACCCCAGGACCCACCCAGCCTGACCCTGGAAGGTCACTTACACTTGACAGCGTGGAGGACGCGACTGTCCAGCGGTTTGCGACTGGGGTTGTTGCTGGAAGAGCGGATGCCGGTCCCACAGCTGTTGGCCAGCGTGTTCCTGAGGCAGGGGGTGTTGGGGAGAGTCAGAGTCAGGTTCCCTGTGGTGGGTGGGACACAGGGCAGCTCCCCTCCCCTCCCCTGGGGCTCCAGGGAGCAGCTCACCGGTCAAAGAAGGAGGCCAGGAGGCGCCGCAGCAGGACCTTGTGCCGCGTGCCCGCACTGACGTGGCAGTTCATGAGCTGCGCCCTTGTGATGTACACGTTGGTGCCTGAAGAAGGGAGCCAGCGAATGGCTGGGGCCCCCAAACCACCACATTCCCCACGCAGCCAGGCCCTGGTCAGGGCCCAAGACCCTCCCTGGCCACTTGCCCCAGGATGGCCTTGTTGTTGTTCAGGAAAAGGCAGTGACAGCAGTGCCACCACCCATGGGGCACCAACAATGTGCCATGCTAGACCCTGCTCACACGTGGTCAGCATTTCCCGCACAACTACCTGGGTGCCAAAAAGAACAAGCAGAAGAGGCTCGCTGTGCACCCGTCACCTGGACTCCAAGGACTAGGTTCTTTTAACCACTTGATAATCAACCTTCAAACCACCCTATGAAGCCACTATTTACCCCCATATGTCTAACAGTGCCAGCCAATGAATGCATGCCAGCCTCCAGGGTAGAAGCGTAAAGACCAGTCTCTCATACGTTATCAAAGCCAAGGGGTGTCAGCTGCCTGGGGGACAGTGGGCAGCAGGGCTGGGCTGGATCCCACCCTAAGTCTGGCTCCTACTACCATGCCACAGGCCACTGGCTCAGAGGGCGCTGAGGCCCAAGGGGGTGGCAAGGCTGGCCCACCTGTCACCAATTCCAGCTTCTCTGAGGGGTCACCCTCGTCGTACAGTTTGGGATGGCAACGGTTGCCAATCTGGTTCATGAGCTCAGCCGGGAGAGATGCCAGGTCTTGCCGCACCCGGATGCGATTCCGGCTCTCGGGGGTCACCTGCTCAGGGAGGGCCTCCACCTTCTCGGCTGGCGGGCAGAGAGCGGCGTGTGTCACGGACAGAGGCGGCAGGGGCCGGGCTGGGGTGGGGGCACAGGGTGGGCACCTTACCTGTCTGGCCGACGTTCATCATGCTGTACATGGTGTACATATTGCAGATCTGACGGTACTGCTCGTCCGTGTCTTCCTCGCCCGCATCCTCCTCTTCATCCTCCTCGTTGTGGTAGGAGCCGGGGCTGTCGCTGGTATAGGCGCTTGAGGTGCCTGGGCTGGTCCGCTCCGAGGTGCTGGGCCCACTCACCACGCCCCCTGCCACCGCCGCTGCCGCCACCAAGGCCTGCTGAGGCGGCGGGGGCTGGGGTGGCCGGCTGGTGGCCAGGTCCGGCGTGGAGAACTTGGCCATCTTGCGGCTGCCGTTGCCCCCGCCCCCGCTGCCCCCCGCCTCCTTCTGGCCACCATCCCACAGCCGCTTGGCCACGGGCGTGCACTGCACGGAGTCCGACTCCTGCTGCTCTGTCTTGATGCGCGACACAAGGGGCAACGGGGTCCCGCAAGCAGGCCAGCTGGACGTCTGTGCCACGGGGCTCTGGGGCTCGGATGACGGGGCCTCCTCAGCGTGCAGGCCCTGGGAGTCGCAGCTGGGGGAGCTCACCTTGAGGAAGAACTCAGTGCCCTTCTCCATGATCTCCTGGATCTGCAGGAAGCCGGCTGTGTACATGAGCAGGAACTGGTCGCCCACGTTCATGCTCAGCCGGCCTGTGTAGCAGAAGCTGAGGATCTGCTGAAAGGACTGCGGCTGCACAGCTGCCGGCAGCTCCACCACAGCGCTCCGGCTGCTGTTGAACAGGTCCCGGAAGTAGGAGCTGCTGGCGGCCAGCACAGCCCGGTGGGCCTTGAATGCGTGGCCTTTGACGACCACCGACACATCACAGTACAGGCCCTGCAGCCGCTGCTCGTTCAGACACTCCAGAATGCTGTTGCCAAAGTTTGGAATCTCCATCTGCAGGGTCTGAGCCATGGCTGCAACTGTGTGGGAGACAGGGAGAGATGGGGAACAGGGTCAGCTGGCACACTCAGCCCCAGTCTCATGGACCTCCCTGCTGCAGGGAGACATGGGAGCACAGACATCAATGCAGTTGAATGTGCCAAGGCCCTAAGAATCACCCAGAGCCACCCGCTTCTGTTCTAGCATAGACTTGCCTACAGGACAAAGCAGCTACGTTAACTATAGGCCAGAGGGACTGTGGGCTGTCCCTTGCAGACAGGGGAACAAAGGCACACTTACATGTATGTGCTTGAAAATTAACATGAGTTAACAGAGCGAGCACCCAGTGAGTACGACATGCACAGGGTACCTCTGAAAGGCACTGGCACAGAAATAGCCAAAGAGCAAGGTCATCTGATTTTCCATACTGCATCTGCACATGACCCTTAATCACAGTTTGTTGAATGACTGAATAATCACCCAAAAAACCCTGAAATGCACAAGAGCATTACTAGTCATTAGGGAAATACAAATCCACACCACAGTGAGATACCATTTCATACCCCGAGGCTGGCTGGAATAAAAAAAGATAGCAAGTGTTGACCAGGGTGGGAGACTGGCACAGCTGGGTGTGGGAAACTGGTGGTTCCTCAAATGATTACAGAGTTTACCACATGAACCAGTTAATTCCATTCCTTAGAATTCTACCTATGAGAAATGAACACATATATCCACAGAAAAGCTAGTCCATAAATGCTCAAAGCAGCACCGTTCACAACTGCCAAAAGGTGGAAAATCTACCTAATGCCTGCCAGCAGGTAAATGGATAAACGCAACGTGGTCTATCCATACAACAGAGTATCATTCAGCCATAAACAGGAACTATGCTACACACTACAACACAGATGAGCCTTGAAAACACTTGCTAAATGCAAGCAAGGCAAAAGGACCACAAATTACATGATCCCATTTATACAATATCCAGGCAAACCCAGAGACAGAAAGCAGATTAGTGGGTGTGGAGGGGGCTGGGAGGAGGGGGTAAGGTATGAGCAAAGGGATGCAGGGTTTCTTGCCATCATGAAATATGTCCAAATTGTGGTGGTGGATTTCCAACTCCGTGAATCTACTAAAAACCACTGAACTGTATGCTTTAAATGGATGAACTCCATGATACATGCTTCTCAATAAAGCTGTGAAAGATACAGCAAGGGAGAGAGGAAAACACAAGACTGGTTTCTTCTGGGCAGAACTGGGAATGAGAGACTAACTGAACATGCATGTTCTGGGTCTTTTACATTTAGAACCTGGTATTGACTACTTATGAAAATAGGTCATATTTTTAAATAAATGTGTGAAATCATACCACACACATCTAATTCATGCAACAAACTTATTAAGGAATGGCTTGTGACCCTGCTCAGGAGTCGGCTCCCCCCTACCACTCGGGCACTGAAGGCTAAGGTGCCGGGGGCTGGGCCAGGGAACAGCGCACTGGGACCCCCCCCCACAACTCCCCACCCTGCAACAAGCAGATGTCAGACCAGCGGGGGATGCTGGGTGGGGGTAGGGTGGCTCCCACTCAGAATCTAAGTGTCCGGTCAGGGCTGACCCCCACTCCCACCTCCTGTGATCCCCCTGCCTCTGGAGACAGAGGTAATTGGGAGCAATGGGTGCACGGGGCCTGTCAGGTTGGGAGGCGAGACAGGTGAGGTCAAGGGCCAAAGCTACAAATGTGAAATCCTGACACCCAGTGCTGAGGGAATGGGGAAGAAAACAATAAAACGCCCCAAGTTCACAAGTCAAACAGAAAACAACAAAAACCCCTTGCTCTGGGCAAGGACAGAGGAATGGTTAGAGAGAAAATTCTGCAACAACTGCTAATAATGAAAGCAGGCCCTGCCCTGTCCCTAAGGCCAGGGATACCCTTCAAATGGAGGCCCGCTGTGGGAGCAGCAGGTTAGACCCATAGGAGCCCGGGCAGCCCTGCCTCCCAAACGCGCACCCACACTCCACACGTGCACACTGCAATCAACCTGCCCCAGCCCCTACGCCCCATCCTGCCTTCCACAGCCCTGGGGTCCGAAGGGGACCTCAGACACAGTCCCGTTGGTTTGAAAAATAAAAGGAATCTTATACTTCAGTATTTCATTAGCTAAAAAAATGTTTTAAAAAGTATGTACACGGGGTGGGCGCAGGGTGGGGGTGGGGAAGGGAGGGAAGGGCAGCAGCCCCCCCACCCAGCCTGCTCCCCTGGGTTCCAACCCTGGTCCTACTGCTGCTTTTATCTTCATCTTTTTAAACGCAAAACATCTACACACGCACGCGCGCGCGCACACACGCAAACGCTTCTGCAAGCGCCCGGAAACCTCTCCTTCTGTCCTCAGACCCTGGGTCTGCCCCCAAGGGCCCCCTCACCCAGGGCCTGCCCCTCAGGCCCCAGGGGACAGATAGGGGCAGCAGAGGCTGAGTACAGGGTGGCAGAGAGGGGCACTGGGCTGGCCCCCACTCTACCACCTTAGGTTAGTCGTGGAATTTCTCTGAGCCTGTTTCCTCTGCTACAAATCAGGCAGCAGTCCCCACACCTCGCTTACCCCAGCCTGCGGGTGCAGGGACAGACCAGGGAGACAGGAAGGCGCTTTTGGAAACATGGAAGCACTGGGAGGTGGTGGTGGAGGCGGTGGGGGGTCCTGAGAACCCCAGGGCCCCTGTGAGTCCCAAGGAATGGAGGCTGAGGAATACCTCCTCCAGGTGGCCCTGGGGCCTGGGGAGGTGGGGCTTCTGGAGCCCCCCCAGGCCAGCCCCTCCCTGTGCCCAGCCTGGGGAGTAGGGAGACAACTGCCAGGGGTTAGGAGAGGGGAGTGGGGGCTCCCCAACTGTGCACAAGTGTGTGCTAGAGAAGGCAATGCAGACCTCACAACCCTGCCGCCTTCTCCCAGCCCGCTCCGATTGGGGTCAGGGGTGGGACCGGGGAGGCAGAGGGGCTGGGAGCATGCACCACCCCCCGCGGGCCCTGGGGAGGGACAGACAGTAGCTAGTGACCAAAATGGCGGGCAGGTGTGATGGTGGGGGGAGGGAGGGGGAAAGGGGGCAGAGTGTGACAGCCCCTTGGGGACAGGCTGGTGCGGCTACTGCAGAGCCTCAGCCGAGGGGCCGGCCTCGCCATCATGGCTGGCTGTCTCAAAGCTGTGCTCCATGCCAATCATGTCTGGCTCGATCTTGCCCGTGTCGCTGATGAAGGTGGTGTAGGCATCACCCTCGGGCACGAGCAGCTTGACCTTGGGCATCCAGCTCTTACGCACAACACGGCGAGCATTGGTGCACATGTCAGCCGCGATGGCATTCATCTCACTCTCTTTGAAGTTGGGGGCAAAGTTTTGGCAGTAGTCTGTGGGGGCAGAGCAGGCAGTCAGGGCCGACATGGACCCGGCCTCCAACCCTGCTGACAGGCACTTGGCCACACGGCTCTTGAGAACCCTGAGCCACACAGACACGGCACCCCTGAACACCCCCTCACACATGACAACTGAGGCCATCGTCAAGACACTGGACGGTGTTGGCCAGGCCCAGGCTCCACTGAGCATGGCCTCATGCGGGGGATGTGTGGGTTTGACGGGTGGCCCAGTGCTCTTAAAAAAAAGTGCACTGATGTGCCAGAATTCAGGAACTGGGGGACTGCATGTGAAAACCTAGACTTCCCTCCTGACCACTGGCTGGAGCCCGGGCTGCTTCATCATTTCTGTGACCACTGTGACTTGGAGGTCCCCCTGCCCCACATGACACTGGCTTCCCTTCAGGGTCCTGCCCACTGCCTCCCATGAAGAAATCTCTCCCCAATCCAGCTCTCTTCCCAACAAGCCTAGATGGAGCCTCAGAATCCTTCTTAACATCGAACTCTATCCAGCCATCAGGGCCAACACCATCAAGAGGGACCATCTGCCACCCCAGGACCCACCCAGCCTGACCCTGGAAGGTCACTTACACTTGACAGCGTGGAGGACGCGACTGTCCAGCGGTTTGCGACTGGGGTTGTTGCTGGAAGAGCGGATGCCGGTCCCACAGCTGTTGGCCAGCGTGTTCCTGAGGCAGGGGGTGTTGGGGAGAGTCAGAGTCAGGTTCCCTGTGGTGGGTGGGACACAGGGCAGCTCCCCTCCCCTCCCCTGGGGCTCCAGGGAGCAGCTCACCGGTCAAAGAAGGAGGCCAGGAGGCGCCGCAGCAGGACCTTGTGCCGCGTGCCCGCACTGACGTGGCAGTTCATGAGCTGCGCCCTTGTGATGTACACGTTGGTGCCTGAAGAAGGGAGCCAGCGAATGGCTGGGGCCCCCAAACCACCACATTCCCCACGCAGCCAGGCCCTGGTCAGGGCCCAAGACCCTCCCTGGCCACTTGCCCCAGGATGGCCTTGTTGTTGTTCAGGAAAAGGCAGTGACAGCAGTGCCACCACCCATGGGGCACCAACAATGTGCCATGCTAGACCCTGCTCACACGTGGTCAGCATTTCCCGCACAACTACCTGGGTGCCAAAAAGAACAAGCAGAAGAGGCTCGCTGTGCACCCGTCACCTGGACTCCAAGGACTAGGTTCTTTTAACCACTTGATAATCAACCTTCAAACCACCCTATGAAGCCACTATTTACCCCCATATGTCTAACAGTGCCAGCCAATGAATGCATGCCAGCCTCCAGGGTAGAAGCGTAAAGACCAGTCTCTCATACGTTATCAAAGCCAAGGGGTGTCAGCTGCCTGGGGGACAGTGGGCAGCAGGGCTGGGCTGGATCCCACCCTAAGTCTGGCTCCTACTACCATGCCACAGGCCACTGGCTCAGAGGGCGCTGAGGCCCAAGGGGGTGGCAAGGCTGGCCCACCTGTCACCAATTCCAGCTTCTCTGAGGGGTCACCCTCGTCGTACAGTTTGGGATGGCAACGGTTGCCAATCTGGTTCATGAGCTCAGCCGGGAGAGATGCCAGGTCTTGCCGCACCCGGATGCGATTCCGGCTCTCGGGGGTCACCTGCTCAGGGAGGGCCTCCACCTTCTCGGCTGGCGGGCAGAGAGCGGCGTGTGTCACGGACAGAGGCGGCAGGGGCCGGGCTGGGGTGGGGGCACAGGGTGGGCACCTTACCTGTCTGGCCGACGTTCATCATGCTGTACATGGTGTACATATTGCAGATCTGACGGTACTGCTCGTCCGTGTCTTCCTCGCCCGCATCCTCCTCTTCATCCTCCTCGTTGTGGTAGGAGCCGGGGCTGTCGCTGGTATAGGCGCTTGAGGTGCCTGGGCTGGTCCGCTCCGAGGTGCTGGGCCCACTCACCACGCCCCCTGCCACCGCCGCTGCCGCCACCAAGGCCTGCTGAGGCGGCGGGGGCTGGGGTGGCCGGCTGGTGGCCAGGTCCGGCGTGGAGAACTTGGCCATCTTGCGGCTGCCGTTGCCCCCGCCCCCGCTGCCCCCCGCCTCCTTCTGGCCACCATCCCACAGCCGCTTGGCCACGGGCGTGCACTGCACGGAGTCCGACTCCTGCTGCTCTGTCTTGATGCGCGACACAAGGGGCAACGGGGTCCCGCAAGCAGGCCAGCTGGACGTCTGTGCCACGGGGCTCTGGGGCTCGGATGACGGGGCCTCCTCAGCGTGCAGGCCCTGGGAGTCGCAGCTGGGGGAGCTCACCTTGAGGAAGAACTCAGTGCCCTTCTCCATGATCTCCTGGATCTGCAGGAAGCCGGCTGTGTACATGAGCAGGAACTGGTCGCCCACGTTCATGCTCAGCCGGCCTGTGTAGCAGAAGCTGAGGATCTGCTGAAAGGACTGCGGCTGCACAGCTGCCGGCAGCTCCACCACAGCGCTCCGGCTGCTGTTGAACAGGTCCCGGAAGTAGGAGCTGCTGGCGGCCAGCACAGCCCGGTGGGCCTTGAATGCGTGGCCTTTGACGACCACCGACACATCACAGTACAGGCCCTGCAGCCGCTGCTCGTTCAGACACTCCAGAATGCTGTTGCCAAAGTTTGGAATCTCCATCTGCAGGGTCTGAGCCATGGCTGCAACTGTGTGGGAGACAGGGAGAGATGGGGAACAGGGTCAGCTGGCACACTCAGCCCCAGTCTCATGGACCTCCCTGCTGCAGGGAGACATGGGAGCACAGACATCAATGCAGTTGAATGTGCCAAGGCCCTAAGAATCACCCAGAGCCACCCGCTTCTGTTCTAGCATAGACTTGCCTACAGGACAAAGCAGCTACGTTAACTATAGGCCAGAGGGACTGTGGGCTGTCCCTTGCAGACAGGGGAACAAAGGCACACTTACATGTATGTGCTTGAAAATTAACATGAGTTAACAGAGCGAGCACCCAGTGAGTACGACATGCACAGGGTACCTCTGAAAGGCACTGGCACAGAAATAGCCAAAGAGCAAGGTCATCTGATTTTCCATACTGCATCTGCACATGACCCTTAATCACAGTTTGTTGAATGACTGAATAATCACCCAAAAAACCCTGAAATGCACAAGAGCATTACTAGTCATTAGGGAAATACAAATCCACACCACAGTGAGATACCATTTCATACCCCGAGGCTGGCTGGAATAAAAAAAGATAGCAAGTGTTGACCAGGGTGGGAGACTGGCACAGCTGGGTGTGGGAAACTGGTGGTTCCTCAAATGATTACAGAGTTTACCACATGAACCAGTTAATTCCATTCCTTAGAATTCTACCTATGAGAAATGAACACATATATCCACAGAAAAGCTAGTCCATAAATGCTCAAAGCAGCACCGTTCACAACTGCCAAAAGGTGGAAAATCTACCTAATGCCTGCCAGCAGGTAAATGGATAAACGCAACGTGGTCTATCCATACAACAGAGTATCATTCAGCCATAAACAGGAACTATGCTACACACTACAACACAGATGAGCCTTGAAAACACTTGCTAAATGCAAGCAAGGCAAAAGGACCACAAATTACATGATCCCATTTATACAATATCCAGGCAAACCCAGAGACAGAAAGCAGATTAGTGGGTGTGGAGGGGGCTGGGAGGAGGGGGTAAGGTATGAGCAAAGGGATGCAGGGTTTCTTGCCATCATGAAATATGTCCAAATTGTGGTGGTGGATTTCCAACTCCGTGAATCTACTAAAAACCACTGAACTGTATGCTTTAAATGGATGAACTCCATGATACATGCTTCTCAATAAAGCTGTGAAAGATACAGCAAGGGAGAGAGGAAAACACAAGACTGGTTTCTTCTGGGCAGAACTGGGAATGAGAGACTAACTGAACATGCATGTTCTGGGTCTTTTACATTTAGAACCTGGTATTGACTACTTATGAAAATAGGTCATATTTTTAAATAAATGTGTGAAATCATACCACACACATCTAATTCATGCAACAAACTTATTAAGGAATGGCTTGTGACCCTGCTCAGGAAGCCCATCCCCTATCCTGACCTGTTGGACCCAGGCACCCCTCACCTGAGTGAGCTTCCACGTCAGAGCCTACCCCATCAGTGTACATTCAGGCACATTGCAACCCAAAGCTAGTCAGATGGGAAGGAGCAGGTCCTACACTCCGGGTGCAGTGAGAAAAGGAGCTTTGGAGGAATGTGGCTTTACAAGTGACCCCGGCCCCCACTTCAGGTAAAAGAAAGTCTCCCGTAATTTCTACAGGATGTAGAGGGCTGTGGGTCTGAGAAGAGGCCCCAACAGAGTTGGGCAGGTGAACAGGAAGGAGAGAAAGGAGGAAAGGAGGAAAGGATTGGTGCAAAGGCCCTGGGGCAGAACCTAGAGCCCTTAGCTATTCTTCCCTCATTTGCATGTTAGCTCCCAGGCAGCTGTCTTTTGTTCATTAGCAAGTTCACTCTAAGCTGCCTTGTGGGCTGAGTGTGGGATACAGTGGGGACTTGGGTTCCACCTGGTAAAAACAGGTTCATTCAAGTGGGGCTGCCTGGAGGGGCACTTGGAGGCCAGGAGCCTCAAAGCTCTGCTTCTCCATTTGGAAATGGATGCTGATAAGGCCACCCTGATTTTGCAAATTCAATCTGTACTCACATGTGGCTGACCCTGAGCAAGACACAGACTCTGCACCACCTGGCACCCTGGCTACCTGCATGGGCTCTTTGAAACCTTAGTAAGCCTATAGGGCCGATTTCACACTCCCAATTCTCTGCGGGGAAAACTGAGGCCATGTGAAGTTAAGGACTGTCCTGAGGCCACGGTTAAGTGGCAGCAACAAAACTCATACCAGGTCTGTCTGGGCACCGAAATGGGTGCTGTCCATGGTGCAGACCAGTGTGGAGTCCGACAGCTGGGGTGAGATGCTGAGGCCTGGCCAGCAGTGGAGGGAGGTGGTAACAGCAGGGACAGGGACAAGGACAGAGAGAGGACAGACTCAGAAGTCTATGGTGAGGGAATTTAACCACCAACTCCAATTTGGGACATGGCAGCTGGGTGGGAGGTATGGAGAGGGAGCAGGCCTGAGGTGGTGTGGGCATAGATGTATCCACGCTGCAGAGGCCAACTTGAGGGGCCCCCGACCTGCACCTGGCGCTGCTGCTCTGCTCAGGCTTCCTCCTCAGTGGACGCCAGGACAGCCCCACTTTGTGGGTGGGGACCACATTGCACAGCCCTGCCCCCTCAAAGGGAACTGGCACAGGACTGCTGCTGGAGGGGAGGGTGGGGATGTCAGAGGTTCTTGGGATAGCAGGAGGGACCAGAGAAGGAGGGAGCTCCTGAGGGCATGAGCTAACCTGATATTCAGGCTGGGATTCCCCAAGCCTCAGGAGCCCCAGCCTCAGTTAACCATCTGCAGGGGTGGGGGTGGGGGACACAATTAATGCAAAAGGCTCAACCGATCTGCGGCCTAACCCTCCCCACAGCACTGCCTACCGGGCAGGGAAGGAACGGCAGGTCTGTGAGCTGGCTACTTGTTGGTTGGGAGGTGATGGGCCTGAGCCAAGGGACAGGGTCTCTAAATCACCCAACTACTCTGTCCCCACCAGACAGAGCCCCCCACTCCGCTGGAAGAACCTCTTTAGCTGGCACCCAAGCCCTTCCCACTCCACCCTTCTCAGCCCTCTGGCTCCCTGCTGCTGGCCAGGCTGCTGCCTGAGCTCTGCACCCTGCCTCAAGTGCCCCCTGCTCCCACATCTTCTTCTTCCACCCTTAGCTACTTCCTGCTCTAATTCTCCAGGCTTCAGAGAGCACCCCTCTTCTGCACATACCCCCAATCTCCCAGCTGCTGCACCCTGAGAACACTAAATCCCACTGGATTATGAGAGAAAACCATATTTCAATCTTTTCTCTTAGCAACTTGGCATATCACCCTGCCCATCTTCTGGGGTCCCCAGACCTGCCTGCAGGGGAGGGGCAGCCCCGACTCCCGCTAGGGGCGAAGGCGACCCTCCTAACATCACTAGTGTCCTGGTCCCAGGCATGAGTGGGTCTCCCAGTGAGAAGTGACAGCACAGCACACGGTTTCCATGACCTCCCAGCAATCACTCAACAAATATTTGCCAAGCCCGGGTGTCTGGGGCAGGCCACAACCAAGACAAGGCTCATGGCCATTCATCCAGGTCACACAGATCAACAAGCTGCATACTGAGGCCTCCAAGTGCACCCAAGGGTGAGGTCAGAGCAGAGATCTTGGGAGGCACATCTAAAAAGGCTAGGAGCATGGCCCTCAAGGTGCGGGGGAAGGTGTGCAGAACCTGGAGGGAGAAGTAGGCCTGGCCTTTCCAGAAAGTGGTGCTAGACTCAGCCCTTGTGACCATCTCTCCTCCTGTTCTCACCTGGGAACTGAACCCAGGGATCTGCTCTAGACCAAACTGTCCCCTCCAAATTCGAAGTCCCAAATTGTAAGTCGAAGTCCCAACCCCCAAATGGCCTGGATTTGGAACTAGAGTCTTCAGAAGATAACTAAGTTTAAATGAGGTCATGGAGTGAGTGGGGCCCTCATCCGCTAGGACCTGTGTCCTTGTCACAGGAGGAAGAGATTTCCCTCTACAAGCATGCACACAAAGCAAAGGCCACAGGAGCATATTAGAACCCAACCTGAACCTGACCATGCTGGCACCTGACCTTGAACTTCCAGTCCCCGGAAGTGTGAGAAGATAAAAGCCACCCAGTCTGTGGTATTTCATTATGGCAGTCCGAGTGATGCCAGGCTTGGAACACCATCTACTCGCCTACAACTCTCCTCTGGCCTCTGGCTTGGATCTCCTGTGGGCGCCAGAGTCACACACGGCCCTACACCAACTTAATGTGCTCACAACCCAGCTCTCGTACCTGCCATACCTGCTCGGGCACAGCTTCTACCAGCCCCGGCCTTTCTCACCTGGGCAAGACCCTCAGTCACACCCTGGACTCCCTCAAAGCCAGTTCTTACCACCTGGGCCCTGAGGACCACTACCAGGGTCTCTACAACACACTCTGGGGGCCCGCCTGCTCCTGGGCCTCCCAAACTGCTGTCCCCCAGGTGGCGCCAGCTCTTCACACCTTCCCTGGCCACCGATCTCTGATTTCCAAAGCTAGAGCCTCTCCCAACCCTGATTCCTTCAGCCACTTCTCCTGCGTGGTTTTTCCTCCGTGGCACTTCCCGCCACTTAGCTAACAGAACGTGTCCTTGGCTTTGTATCAGCTCCACTGGGCAGGGCACCTGCTTGTCTGGGTCACACTGGTGTGACCCCTGCCCCAAGTACCAAATGGACACACGGTGGGCACTCAATGGTTGTTTGCAATGAACAAAGAATTATTTCCATGACTTCCAATAGGACTCCTTTTTTGTTCCACATTAATGTGACTAAAACAGGATGGGACTTGGGAGAGGTCTTGGAGGCTGAGCAGGGGTGCCATTCGCACCGAGGCACAGGCCGCTGGGGCTGGCATGGATGGTGCTATGCAGACAGGAACACTTCTCTGGCAGCCTCACCAGATGGGTGGCCTGTAGTCGGGGTCCCACTTGGGGCTAGTGGAACTGGACTTCAGATTCCCACTGACTGCCCAAGCTGCCGTGGATCACGCCGCAGTGCAGCAGGCTTGAAACCGA